GACCCGATGCTCACTTATCTCGAACTTTTTTTAGGCTATTTGTCACTAGGCTATAATTTGTTCCCCCAAAATTCAATAAGATAATAAATTATTTCACAAATATTCTATCACGTCATAATTCTTATTGCTTGCCTGGTAGCTACTTTTTTATCTTTATTTAAAAGCATATTTGATGCATTTGCAGTTTACTTCCAGTATTTTAGTAAGCACCAGTAGTTAAGGTTCGTTTGAAAGTTTTATTTATCATTCACACGAAAGCTTTTAAAAGACAAGGCTACGTGCATTGGTTTTAAAGCTTATTTGAGAACGGCGTTTCGATCTGTATTTTTATACGTATTTAAATTTGCCCGTGTAGTATTTACAAAATATACGAATCACGGTCTCATACGAGGCAACAGATTACACTTACACACATAAAAATGGTGCATTTTGTAACAAATGATACCTCGATCATCAAGATATGTCACTATATGAAAGTTATTGAAGGACGTTGTAGAAATGTAATGGAAATATGCACAATGAAACATAAAATGTACACAGAAAGCTTGGAGCTTTGTTTCATTATAAGCTCCATGTTCTTCGTTTTGTTAGTGGATTCTCATTCTCGTGGGAAAGGAACCATGACTAAGTTGTTTGTTCGCGAGTTGTTCGATATTTCTGAAACGATCTAAAAGGAAAGCAGAAAAACAAAACTGGAAAAGAAAAGTTTGTTAAGGAGTTAGAGTAGTTGAAATAGTATATTCAAATTACCTGAAATGTAGTTTGAACACAGTTGCGTGTTTATAAGAGGTTTTTAAACTGTTGCTTTTTGTTGAATGTTTGTGAACAAGTGATGTAGTTTTAAATATTAAACAAAATGTTTCCATGTGCCAACCTAATTCAGGAGTTTGTTTTATTTAAGTAAATTGTAATTTAACTTTAAATTAATCTTATTTACATAGAAATCATAGTGTTTATACTATTGTCAGAAAAATATGTCTTAAAAAAGCAGCTTAAAATCTTTAGCATCGCTAAGGTTAAACAAAAGTCTAATGTTACAAACATGGAATTTTACTTATTTTCTTCTCAGTTGATAAAATTATAACTCTTATTTCCGTATATTTGTTACGAAATTGTTATATATATATCCAAGCTACAGTTTAGATTATAATGTAACTGCAATACGTGTGGTCGTTTGCTAGGCAAGCTTCAATCTTAGGCTCTCTCTTCCTTTCTTCCTTTTAGGCATTGTGAATGCTTTGTTTATTGATTAATATTTTTCAATTAATCGCTTTATTAAGTCATTACCGAAATAATGGTCTGTAAAACAAGGGACTGACTTATAAGATTAGATTCAGAAAATATTCCAGCATTTTATAAGTCGATAATATTGGGATGCGCTGCATGTGTGCCATTTTGTGTTACAGTATGCTAACCTTTATTTTTTGAGTGCTTAGGTACTTACTAAAGTAGAAGTTTTTACAAACGAAACGAAATTCGTACCTAATTTCTTCGTGAAAACAGTTACACATCTGTATGTATTTGAATTTAAAAGAACTCTCGCTTAAATGTTTTACATTTGGGCTGTTCGTGGTACTGAGTCATTAAAAATCCAACATTCTTAAATCATACTTATATTTTGAGGGCGTAAATTAAGTCAATTTAAATTAGACTTTAGAACAAAAGTACAAATAAGCTAATGTAAGGTTGAAAAAAATAAGAAATCTGATTAGACTATTAATAATTACAGTAACATGATTGTTCGTTCTTGTGTTATGCAATTATATAATATATGATTTAAACGCCCAAAACCTAAAATATTGTTAAAAAATAAAGTTAATTGTAGATGTTTTTGCCACCCCAACATTACTGCTTAAAATCAGAAGTATGTAAAGATAGCATTCCAGATCTATCTTTTGTCTCCCAAAAGTTGTAACCCAATAAATATTTCGATTAACAACAGAAGTCATTATTTGGGTTCAATGATGTTTTTTTTTTACCTCTTTCAAGCTTAAATTTCAATGCTTCAAAACTTACCATTCAAAATGTTTTAGCAGTATAATATCAATGCTTTACAAGACAATGGTCAATAAAATACTTTCCGTCACGTTAAGAGCTATCTGATCAAATGTGCATATTTGTCTTTAGTATTGTTTTTCTAAAATGAGATACCAGTTAGTCTTAACTCGTAAATAGGATTGCGATAGATGTCATAACGTTTAAAAAGCTTATAATCACTTGCAATGATGATATGTCATATGCTTTGTGCTCTCATTTCATCTTTTGGGTCTATGAATGCGCAAGTGGCTGGTGAGACCAATTCTTGATGTACACAGGCGTGTGCAGTGGGGGCATGGAAAATCTGTCTTTGTAACACATGTCATAGATCAGTTGTGTCTTACAGATTCCAAGTAATTGCGTCTGTCCTCTTCGCAGGGAAATTTACATTCATTGTTTTTACTTGACGAATTATAGAAAAACAGGCAAATAATACATAAAGTTATAGTGTATAGTTCGCAGGGAAATTTACATTCATTGTTTTTACTTGACGAATTATAGAAAAACAGGCAAATAATACAAAAACTTATAGCGTATAGTTCGCAGAGAAATTTACATTCATTGTTCTTACTTGACAAATTATTTTTCTTTATTCATGATGCCACTTTCATTTTGTTTAATATTCAGTTATTTACTCTAAGCGTTAAACTTCATTAAGTTTAAGCACTGTTTGATGTTAGTAATAAAAGCTACCTGTACATCTTACCTGTTATTTTAGCATTCACTTAAGAAAGTGTTTAATGAATACACGTCCTGTTCTAATAGTCAGACTTTAAAACTTTCCACAGCCAATTCACTTGTCACAAACATTTAAACCAAGCAACAGAGGAATAACGTCTAATATTCCGAAATAGTTTAGCCCTTATTATAAGATCTGCACAACCAGTCTAAATGACATAGGTGAATGATATCTTTCAATCGATACAACAATTCTAGACACCAAACACCTCCGCAATCAATCCAATGATACTAAAGATTAAGTATTCCGCAACTAATCCAACAATCATAAATTCTGAGCACCTATAACTAATTCATAAAAATATTAAAAATCAATTACTTTCACAACGAATTTCAGACTCATAAAAATCAAACACTTCTATGTCAGTCTTGGATGTTTAATTAAGAACAATTAAACATGCTTTTATCCTGAACACAAATAGGCGAACTGAGTGAACAAGGATTCTCTAGTGATATGTTTTAGTTGATAAATTTAAGTAAAATAAGGAGAATTAAAAAGGCCAACATTCGCGAGCGAATGAAATGCAACCTGTCTCCCCATGGCCAATTTTGACAAAAGAAAAATCGTGAAAAACACACAAAAAAAAATCGAAAAAGAAAGTACAATTTGGGGTTTTCGTGATCTATTCTTGTGTGTGTAAACTGACCTACTTGTAATTTAGTGTAAAGACACCTTATTGCAGGTTCCAAACAGTTATATAGACTGTTTTCGGAAAAAATTAAACAAAAGACAAAAGTTCCAAAATTGCCTATAGCTCTACTTAGGACCTACAAAGAGTATATTTGTACCAAATTCAATTTACATTTGTCGAAACAAGGCTAAGTAGGTGACCAAAACTCCAAAAAGTATCGGTTTATTTAACCTTTTGGCTCACCTAAAATGGCCAAAAATTGGCATATCCCATGTTTATGTTTGTCAATTTTTGGGAACTGAAAAAGTCGTTGTACCAAATTCCATGTAAATTGGTCAAAATGTGGCAGAGTATTGACAAAAACATCAAATTATGAATTATGCCTTTTTTGGGGAATTTTGACCCTCCTAAAAAAGCTCAAAGTGGAGAAATCAAACTTTTTTAAATCAATGTATTGGGCGCATGAAAATTTATATTTGTGCTAAGTTTCATCTTGATTACTGTAAACACGACCGCACAGGAGCCCAAAATATACGTTTTTGGGTTGTTTAACTTTTGACCCCATAAAATCATTAAAAAAGCCTAAAGAAAAAAAATTAAAAGGTCTCTAGGCGTATTGGACCAATGTATAACACTACCAAGTTTCAAGTCAATCCGCTGAGAATTGAAAGAATGTCGATCAATTGAAAAGTGTCTGGAAGAAGAAGAAACAATAGAAAAACAGTATTCTCTTTCCGGTAACATAATTAACTTTGTGTCAAAAAGCTACAGTCTGGTATTTAGTTTTCACACCTGATGAATAGCAGATAAAATCTATCTAATCCAACTGTTGTGAACAATCAGTCTAATATTTCAAAATTAAATCCATTAATCATAGACCTTCACTCGCAGATGAACAATGATTTAACAAACAATCACAGACATGTGTAATTAATCATGATTTGAAAGTATCCGTTTTCCAACTTCCCATCAGCAAATCTTGCATTGTCATATAATATTTCACTTATACTTTTTTATTTTCTTCACATTGAAACAGTTAAAAATTAGAAAATGAAAGTAAACTTTCAGATTACACTAAATAGAAATTATTGTAATATTTTGTTTCTTGTATTTGAGATTATGTATATTAGTGAAACACATAGTTGGAGTCCTGAAAATCCATTTAATAAAATTCACCCTTTTATAATAAAATGAGAAATAATCACATTTGTTTTTCTGATATAAATTGTGATCTTACGGAGTAATCAGTGGTTAATTGGCAAGGAAATATCTAAAGACATATGTGATGATGAAAAGCTTCTATTTTTCTCTTCTAAATTCATCTAAATGTTCCATTTCAAAGATGTAAAAATTGTGTTTAATTTTGCACTGCAAGAATTACAGCTAATAGGAATTGTAGTTAACAAATACCCCTAATTTGAAATTACACACGTGAAAGAAATTTACTGGAATAATATTCTATGAACGTTTTTCTTTATGAGAGATATTTGTAAAAGTTTTATTGTATACGTTAAAGCAACATATAGATATATGTTTAGCTATTTATAAAAGTAACAAAGATAGAAAATAAAAGACGTTTATTTTACAATACAGTGTGATCCGGCTGTAGGGATGAAAAGTTTCTTTGACATGCTCTCCAAAGAGCCTCTCAAAGTGGTCCTCTTCGGTGATGCTTGTACATCGGTAACAGATCCAATTGCCAAGGCGTCTGAGTTCTTCCAACTAGTTCAGGTGAGCGAAAAACAATTTGTCTGTTAGCTGGACTTCACGCAAAGATATATAAGAACTATCAGCGCTAGACTGTTTCTCATTTTGAAGTATTAGACTGTAGGGAAGACAGGTACTCCACCACCAACTCTTGGGCTAGTATTTGTATACTAAAATTGTGCATCTTGTTTCTCTTATCTATTTGTCATTGAAATTTGTGTCATTAGTACATCCCAACTGACATTGGTCGCCTTGCAGGTAAAATTCGTGGTTCTGTTTGTTTAGCTCTCTTGTTAATCCGACAACTCAGGTACTGTGCTACTTACTTGTAAGGGTGTTGCAAAGCAGTCACATGGGAAAGATAAGCTCTTATGGTTTTCTTGTATTTTAAAGGCTCAAATGAATATTTTAATTAATTTCTTATAGTTTAATTAATTCAGAATTATTTTAACGATATTGTAGATAACTAGGCTAGGCTTAAAAATTGTTTTACCGTTTGCCATAGTTACATCGTTACTTTCAAAGTAGTGAGGTGAATAACATTCATTAATCTCCAGTTTTTTTACATCAAATACAGAATCTTCTCTTCCTTATATTAAAAAGTAATGAAGGAAAAATTAAACTGCAATTAATTTACAGCAGTCTAGACCCTCATGAAGATTGTAGTCTGTAATCTTCCCACAGTCTAAGAGACTTAATGTTTGTTGTTTCAATTTCATTGATAAACAAGAATCACTGAGCAAAAATGCAATAAAGAATTGTTTATAGACTTGACTTTTGTCAACTTCATCTTGAGTATCATCTCTGCCTTGATTAGGGGACATAATGTCAGCAGCGATCACTTCGTACAGTACTGTGCAAAAGTGCTAGAACAAGATATTTTGTCATTCTTTCCATTTTCTGGAGTTAATTCTCCCATGTCTTTACAGAATGTAAATTTTAACACTATGGTATTGTTTCTCTGATCTCTGTTGACAACTGAATGAGCCAGGGTGAGAATATTTATCATTCTTTAGAATTCCCATATACTTATACCAAGGACATGTCATAAGGGTTCTGCTTGAATAAACATACTGATCAAACTTAGGGTCTGAAATAACTGTCATGGTATCCCATGCAGTGTCTTAAATATATAGAAAGAAACCAGCAAGAAGCTAGACTATGGTACCGGTATATGCTAGAAGAAATCAGTTTAATAGCCCTCCACAAAAAAACTTTGATAAAAACAGTGTTTAACACTATATATTAAGTTTTGTTGTCATGCAACGGCCCAAAAAAGCGCAGGAAATTGTCAGTAGAGCAGAGAGTTCGCATAAAAGTTTTACATGATGCTGGTTGAACTCTCCGACAAATTGCTGCAGACTTGAAATGCTCCACAAACAATCTCAAGTACACCATATATCGTGAGACCGAGACAGGTGAATTTGAAAATAGGAAATGAAGAGGCAGAACACCTAAATTCCATAATACTGATGTTAAGTATTTTCATTTATGCAGCTTTCGAGACAGAAGGAAGACTACCACTAGTCTCGAGCATGAGATAAATGATCATGTACCAAATGACAGAAAAGTGGCCAGCTCTACAGTATCAAGAAGACTCAACTAGACTGGAATATTTAGTTGTATAGCTATTTAAAAACCTTCACTTTGATCTCTAAATATTGTCAAGAGACTGAAATGTGCTAAAAAATGCAAAAACTGGACTGTTGATTATTGAAAAAGGGTGTTTTCGACGGATAAGTCCCAGTTTGAAATATCTGGTTCAAGACGTAGGTTGTACGTCCGGCGGAAGCGAGGAAAAGATACTTACCTCAATGCATAGTACCTACCATGAAGCATGGGGTAGGCAGTGTAATGGTTTGGGGTGTTTTTCTGCTGAGGCTAAAGGAGATATTTGCAAAATAGATGAAATAATGGACCAGCGCAAGTACCATCAGATACTGATCCATCATGGTATATCCAGTGATATGCGTAAAAGATTCTACTACCAAGAAAATAATGATCCCAAACACTCATCCAACCTATGAAGAACTTACTTAGCTAAAAAAGAAGCTGCTGGAGTCAATCAAATGATGCAAAGGCCACCCACAGAGCCCCGATCTCAACCCAATTGAGCAGTTCTGGGATTTGATAGATCAAAAACTTGACAAATCAAAAGTTTCTTCCAAAGAAACTTTATGTGAGTGTATTAGTGACATTTGGAATAAAATCCCAAAGGACACTTTGATTAAATATGTTGTAACAATGCCTGAAAGGCTGTTTGCGGTTATTAAAACAAAAGGGAGACACTCAAAATATTAACTGTTTCCTTGTGCAATCACTTCAACTGAGTTTCTGTTGTACTAAATATGAAGATTAATACAATTTTGATTTTTCACCTGTGATCTACCTTCCATTGTTCTTTGAAAGTAGCCTGAAATCAAAATGTTGAATTTGTCCTAACACTTTTGCACAGTACTGTATGTGTGAAATGTACGTGAAGATAGGTTAGAGATAGCATAATACCCTGATACTCTCATATATGTCTCTATCTTTGAGCAAAGTCAAGGCAGCAACTGTTGTAGAACGAACATCTAATTCTGGTGGAACAGTGATACTAATAAACTGAAAAGCACACAATCAAGACCAGCCTGAGTTCATATAGATAAGGCATAATTCAGCCTAGACAAAAGAAGAAAAGGTTGTAAATTCAACCTGTGTCCTTACAGGCAGTCAGCTTCCAAAGTGTGATACGTGGAATGGGATAAATAGGACAGCATATCTTACACGCACTTAATTCTTATACTACCATAGCTATTCTTATAGCCGAAAAATGAATCAAAAACATATCTGTGTCAGTCATTTACAATAATCACAATAACCTACTCCGCACATATGAAGATCGAGGCTTGATATCCAGGTGCACATACATTAACCAATGTAGTCATCGTGACATTCAAGACAAGCTCAAAACCACAATAGTCCCTCTATACAAGCTACAACTAAATGCAAGTAAGAAAGCAATCTATATTTTGAACGAAACACAGAGAGACATAAATATACTTCTAAAGATAGAACTCCAGGTCCAGATAATGTAACAATCTCTAGCTTTAAGAAACTTACAGAAGCCAAAACATTCAATTTAGCGTCACAGTGTCAGTATAGCTGAACAACAGGCAATAGCCTTCGAATATGGATTGATAACTTTTTTAAATTCTAAGGCCTGGCATGGCCAGGTGGTTAGGACGCTCGACTCGTAATCTGCGGGTCGCGGGTTTGAATCCCCGTCCCACCAAACACACTCGCCCTTTCAGCCACGGGGTGTTATAACATGACGGTCAATCCCACTATTCGTTGGCAAAAAAGTAGCCCAAGAGTTAGCAAAGGGTGGTGATAACTAGCTGTCTTCCCTCTAGCCTTTCACTGCTAAATTATGGATGGCAAGCATAGATAGCCCACGAGTAGCTTTGCGCGAAATTCAAAACAAACAACCAATCAATTTTTTATCCAAACCCATGAAGGATAACTTTCGTCTTAAAGACCATTGAATGAAATTCTACAAAACATAATTGGCAAGATCCAATAGGAGGTTGTAGCTGGAAGATTTGTCTTCAACTACTTCTACACCCATCATTATCATAATGGAATAGAAGCCTGGATAAATCCTACTGAATTTGAGGCTGTTACATGGGAAGGTTCAAAGCTAATCAGAAAACATTGACAGTAGCTTTAGAGGTAGAGTAGATATATTAAAACGATGTTAGAGCCACATTACATAATTACAACTCTTTTCACCACATTAGATCATAATCTATCTGACGATCGTTATCTTCACAATAAATAGCCCTTCAGTGTGGTTTCTCTTGCACGAGGCTCCGATATAAGGTTGTCACGTTCAAAGCATACAATTCATATCCACTCTATCCATAATACATCAAATGTACAAGGATAATTGTTTCCCAGTGCTCATTACAAAAGTCCAAATGCACAGAAATCCATAAATAATATTAATCCCGCAGAGGAACAACATTCTGCATTATGCTGGTAGATATTTAAGCTTCCTACAAGTAGCACAACGGTGGAACTGGAAGCTTTAAAGGAAGCTCCTCTCTGGATTCCTGAAAGCATTGAACCAAAAACAGACTATATCACCAACATAATATTTCTAGATGAGTCGCAGATAGTACTGGTTTTCCCCTGGTGGATGGTAAAGTGTTTGGTCACCAGTGGGGTGACAGAAAGTAAAAATCACTAGATGGTAGGACCACCACCTGGATTTATATTACTGGGTCATACAGGGTTAAAGTTAGACGAAGAAGCTTATAAGCTTGAAACAAAGACAAAACCTACATAAAATGTGACACACCTCTACTGGCTGTATATTAATCTCCTCTGCACTATGTGGTCTTTATCAGTATTCAGAGAGAATAAAACTGCTGGAAAATAAAGTACTGTATGGTGTTACTATAGAAGCAAATGACTGGTAATCAATATGACAATTTATAGACAAAAGGCCACTGGTAACACCAGTAAAAGTAACTATCTTCTACAAAACAACCACCTGAGGTTCGGTGTCTGTCGGTGCAACCTTTGGGATTGCCACTTAGTATTCAACTCAATCTAAGCATAGAAAATGACAAGGAATAGAAATCCTAACACATGGGTTTTCCTTCTTATTTTATTGTAATGAAATAACGTTCAAAAGAAGAGGTTAATCTCGTTCACACAATCAATAACTAAATCATTTGAAAATAAATCTCATTCACACAATCAATAACTAAATCATTTGAAAATAAATCTCATTCACACAATCAATAACTAAATCATTTGAAAAGAAAGCATCAACTATTGTTTGACTTGGGAATATATTTAACATTTCTGTTCATTTTGTGCAAAAGGTCAAGAACTGAGATAATAGGAGAATAAAAAGGCATGATTCAATATCAAGTATTATGATTAGCAAGTGGAAATGGCCGAGTTATTAGTCACTGAACACATACTGCACTTTCATCCGTGGGCGCATTACAGAATTAACAGTTAATCGC